GAGTTCCTCAAGATTTAATTTTGACCCAGATAAGTTTAGGGAGCTCTTAGTCTCGGCCATCATTATGCACGATTTGCCATTTTAATTTGTTGAGTATGAGGGTATTCGAGCAATCTTCTCTTATCTTTGTGAGGATATAAAACACATATCAATAAATACAGTTAAATCCGATGTTCTTAAAATCTATGGAAGAGAGAAAAATAGGCTAAAAGAAGCTTTTGAATCGATTCCGGGTAGAATTAACTTGACTTCCGATTTATGGACATCAATAGCCACCGACGGATATATTTGTCTCACGGCACACTACATTGATCATGAGTGGAAATTACAAAATCGGGTTCTTAACTTTTCTTATATGCCACCTCCTCATTCCGGTGTTGTCATTTGTGAGAAGATCTATAAGTTGTTAGTTGATTGGAAAATTAAAAAGAAGTTGTTTTCTTTCACTCTTGATAATGCATCCACAAATGATGTTTTTGTTGATTTATTGAAAAAACAACTTAATTTGAAAGAAGCACTTCTTGGGAAGGGAGAATTTATTTCATATTAGATGTTGTACTCATATCCTCAACTTGATTGTCCAAGATGGTTTAAAAGAAGTCCATGGTTGTATCAATAAAATTCGAGAAAGCGTCAAGTATATAAAAGGCTCTCAAATTAGAAAACAAAAATTTTGGGAATGTGTCTCTCATGAATCTTTGGAAGTGAAGAAGAGTTTAAGGCAAGATGTTCCAACAAGATGGAATGCTACTTTTCTAATGCTTGAGAGTGCTTTATACTATCGTCGTGCATTTATACACATGCAATTGAGTGATTCCAACTACTCAAGATTTTGTCCATCTCAAGAAGAATGGGATAAGGCCGAGAAGGTTAAGAGGTTGTTAGCCACTTTCTATAACGTCACTTGTCTTTTCTCCGGTACAGATTATCCAACGACTAATCTCTACTTTTTTCAAGTATTTGTTGTGCAACGTACTTTAAAGAGTGGGATGAAAGATGATGATGAATATGTTAAGTTAATAGCAACCAAAATGTGCACACAGATAAGGTTACCTTTTATATGTTTTGCACCTTCACTTATATCATGGAAGAATTGTTAATCACAGAGAATATTATCATGATATCATCCTTTTGTATGTTTTTATATTTAGGAATTCGACTCATTTGAAAGTCAAGAAATTATTAGTTCTCAAAAGACCCAATTAGAACTTTATTTGGATGAACCAAGACTTGACTGTGGTGCTCAACTCGACATTCTTTCATTTTGGAAGACTAATGAGCATAGATACCCCGAGCTCTCTTTATTGGCAAGAGACATAATGGCGGTTCCTATCTCTACAGTTGCTTCGGAGAGTACTTTCAGTGTAGGTGAGAGAATCCTTAACCAATACCGTAGCACTCTTAAGCCTAGCAATGTGGAGGCTTTAGTTTGCACGCGTGATTGGTTATATGGTATCAAAGGTAGACAATTACTAATGTTATATTTTTTATGTTTTTTGCATCAGAATACATGTTATGAATTTGCTTATTGGTTTTTTATTTTTTTATTAATGATAGATGACATGCAACCGAAATTAGATGAGCTTTCCGAGGATATCATGCAATTAGATATTGGAGAATCTATGCCAACACAAGTATGAATCTCTCATACTATGATGTGGTAGCTGTCATACTATGATGTGGTAGCTGAAGGTAAGAACCTACTAGCTGTTAGATTCTTATGTCGTATCTTGATAGACTTGCTCTGAAGTTTATGCTATTCATATGTGAGCTGTACATCCCGACCAGATGAAAAAACTTCATCTTGATATTCATGAAGGTGAATTCTTAAAATGAGCTTTGTGTTTGTATGTAGTAAACTTAATTTATCAATTTTCATATGCACAAGACGAGCTTAAACATTAGCGAGAGAAGTCCATAGGCCAAAAATGGAGAATGATTCTAGGTCCATATGCTTTTATGATCTCTGTGTCTATTTTTTTGCCCCTATTTTTGTTGTAATTAGAGAAGTATAGCAGACAATTTCTATAATAGCTCAATCAGGGGGGAACTAAGATCTGATAATCTGAAAAAGTTTCTTCTTTAATAACGCATGTTTCTTTTTTAGCTTCTATGAACTTGCAGTTTGTCTTCGCATCCAAGTTAACAAAAAACAACAAGGAATTCAAGGTAATTTTGTACAAAATCATCTTATCCAGAAAGCATCATATTGCCTGTGAGCTGCACTTCCTTTTATTAACAAATCCACCCTCTCGTTGCAGGACTTGCCGCCGGAGCGAGCTTTTGCTGATTTTGTCCTCTGCAGTCTGGTTCCCCACCTTGTGATCATGAATTTCCTCGGATAGAACTGCATTAATATAAGTAGGAAAACGTCGATGAGCGTCTCTTTTCAATGAGTTTGTCTAAGATGCCATGATGATAACAAAACTTCCTAGTCCCGTGTTTGAAGACTGCAACAATATGTATTAGGTCTTATCAGTTTTTGGACATGTCCAATTATGGTACTCGCATAATCGTTTACCTGGTTGAAGATTGTACTCTTGCCTCACAATTCTCAGGATTCTGTTATGTTGATTGGCATTTTAGATTTGTTGAGGGAAGTGTTAAGAGAATATTTAGAGTGAGTACTTGTTTTCATTGAGAGTAAGCTAAGTTTCTGTAGGTATATATGATTGTTGAATTGTTTTGAGCTTTTTATATAGAACGCTCTGATGGTTTTCAGCATTACTGAAATCTATGAGAGTTTTTGGTTTGAAAGTTTAATTTTGTTATTGGTACTCGACAAGTCCATAAATGTGCATATTTGCTGTTCCTTCATGGTTATCAGTGTTGTGTGAACTGTGGAGGTAATGTGTGGATGTTAGTGTTTGGAAAATTTGAACAGTTTAAGTCAATTGTTAGAAGTTTGATAAATGGGTCATTCGGGTTATATGGGTCGGGTCGGGTAACCCATTTATTAAACGGGTTGGGTCGGGTCATACTTATATGGGTCGGGTTAAATTTTATATGGGTCGGGTCGGGTCGACCCGTTTGCCACCCCTACCCAAAATATACCAATCGGGTAAGTTTGCCATAATTTATCTATGTTGTTTATTTTCTCTTGAAACCGACTTAAATCTTAACCCACAACTCAAATCAACTAGATTTTGGGTCTCAACAATATGTATGAGCTAAATCCATTAAGCTAAGGGCGTGTTTGGCAACAAGTTAAAATTAGGTCAGGACTGAACCTGACCCAATTTTAACTTGTTTCTTGTTTCTCAAATTTTTAGGACAGAGCCGGCCCAATTTTTTTACCCTAAATAGTGTCACTAAGCCAGTTTTCTTTTAGATCAATAGAGTCTGATCCAAAAAAATCCGGTTTAGTACAAAACTGAGTCGGGGGACTGGTGCTGACCCAATGTTGTTCTCTTTTCACCAAACACACCTGGTGTGTTTGGGAGTTTACTTAGGGGGGTTATTGGTTGAGACAAATTGGGGCCAAGGGAGAAAAATGTTCTAATGAAATAATTTTACCTTTTTGGGATATTTTGAGTGGAGTAAAGTGGGATAATGAGATAATTTCAACATTTGATTTGACAATTCATGTGGGATAATTGATGATTTAGCACCTTATTAAAATATAATTTTATCTATTAATTACTTCTAAATTAACTTATCCAATTGGTTTAGTATATTATTATAATATAAATATTATTTTACTTTATATTAAAATATAATATATTGTACTATACTTACAAATTACTATTATTAATTATTATATTGTATTGTATTATATTATATTAGCATGTTATACTATATATAATAATTAATATAATATAATATCAATATATTTAATATAATATTTTAATAATATAATATTTAAATATAATACATTATTTTATTTATACAAAAATATAATATGTTATATAATAATTACTAATTAACATTATATTAGTATGCTACATTATATAATAATTGATATAATATATGAATAATATATATAATATAATACTTTAATAATATATTATTTAATTTAATATATTATAATATAGTATCATAGGATATAATGTACTTTATAAAATATTATAATATTTTACTTTATTAAAATATGATATAATATTATAATAAAAATGTTATATCATAATTACTAATTAATATTATATAATAATATATTACATAATACTATTAATATATATTATTAAATTATTATATATATTTTTAAAAATATTAATACATGTTATTAAAATATTATATATATGTTATTAAAATATTAATATATGTTATTATATAATATTATTAATATATGTTATTAAAATATTAATATATGTTATTAAAATATTATATGATATTATAATAAATACGTTATACTATAATGACTAATTAATATTATATAATAATATATTACATAATATTATTAATATATGTTATTAAAATATTATATAATATTATGATAAATACGTTATACTATAATTATTATTATATAATATTATTAATATATGTTATTAAATTATGTTATTAAATATTAATATATGTCATATTTTATATATCATATCACATATTTATAATATAATTAGCATGTATTAGTTAAGTAATACAAAAATATTTTAAAATTATCCCAATTGCCTTCAAAGTGGAACAATATTGTTCCAATATGGAGGATGGGATAAATTTAGGGTAATTATGAGGAAGAGGTGGAGGGGATCTTTATATAGTTGGTGTAATTTAAGGGAAAATGGAGTATTTGATCCCCAATTACCCCAGCAAATCAATAACACTACAAAGTTGACTCCAATTCCAATTACCCCAATGAATAACACCAAAAAATGATGTTCTAAAAATTATCCTATTATCCCCAAAATTACACCAATGAATAACCGCCCCTTAGGAAAGGGAAGGAAGGAGAATTTTTTCCCTTCATTTCCTTCCCCTCCATTACATCCCAATTTGGGGTGTAAGAATTTAGGTCAAATTTTGCCCCCATTCCCCTCCTCTACTCTCCCAAAAAAAAAAAAAAAATCCCAAATAAGTTTAAAATAAAACTTCCCCTTCCCTTCCCCCTCTCTACCCTCCATCCAAACAGGCCATAAATCTATATAACAACCCATTTCAGGCCCATTCTTCATATTGATTTCGTATCCGAGCGTTGTACCCGAAAATTTTTCAAAAGCGCGGAAGCTGAAAAAATGGCGGAACCCCTAACCCTCACTTCACCGGCCGAGGCCTCGGAGACTGTAAGCATGGACTTGAAGACCTTTCGAAGGTACGCTTTGTTTTTATTCACTCATCGAAGCCCTAATCCTTCCTCCATTTTCTTTTCTAATCCTCCCTTCATTTTCTTTTCTCGTCTCTGCAGTCGATTGAAGGATCTTCAAGAATCGCGATCAGCTCCCCTCGATTCTTCTGAAACCTCAAATCACGATCCCAAAAACTTGATTCAAGAGCTCATTTCAGATCTCCAGGTGATTTAAACCCTATAAAGTTCACTCATTTTCTAGTAACTCGATCTCACTTCCTGCTAGTTTTCTATTTAGGGGAGGATCAAGCAGATAGAGTTGGAGGAAGAGAATGTTGCAAGCTTGGGACCTGATGATTTAGGCGAGCTCTTATTTGGCCCTTTATTTGTGTTATTATTTAGGTTTTTTTTATTCTCGATATTGGGCCCCCAATTCTTTCATATTTTCGAGTTAGTCTCCAAATCATTAACTGTCTTAAAGTTAGTCCCCCAATTCTTCATATTGTGAATTACTCCCCCAAAATTTTTAAATATTTGGAAATTTGTCCTTCTAGTTAGCCCTAGTTGGAAGATTTTGGGTACTAATTTCAAAACACTTCAGATTTAGGGCAGTAGTTTCAAAATATGAAGATTTGGGGGACTGGTTTAAAGACACTGAAAGTTTGGGGGACTAATTTCAAAATATGAAAGGTCTGGGGACTAAAACCCTATTATTTAATAGTCTCATTTCCCTAGTTTGTTTAAATAGTATGATTCATACCATTTGTTTGAGAAATTTTACTGAAGCTGCTAAGTTTTTTTTTTGAGTATATTGCAGTTGGGTTTTCTTAAAGTAGAATGAACAGTTTGTTTACTTGTTGCATTGTAGAGGAGTTCTTAGAACAGTTGAAAAAGGAGGTAGACTCAACGGAGGAGGAGAATATGAAGATTTCCAATGAAATTAATGATCTTACAAGGACGTTCTCAGAAGGTAATCCCAAGTTTGATATGGCACATGATGTTTTGGGGTTTTATATCCTTGATAGAGTTTGATATGGCGCATAAACTAGAGTAATAGTGGACATACCCTCTGTAGAATTGCCGAACTGCAGATTAGCCCATTGTAGTTCTATTGGTGCAGATAGACCCATCATACTATGTGCCCGAGTATGGATTGATCCCCTCAGTGAATTTTTTGTCTAAAGAATAGCAATTGGGGGTCTATCCACATCAATAGGACTGTAGAGGGTCTATCCGCCTCTACAAAACCTTTTTTAGGAGGTAAAAAATTAATTTACCGAGGGGGTCTATCTACCAACTAGAACTGCAGGGGGTCTATCTGCAATTGGGGAATACTAAGGGGGTCTATCCGCAATTGGATGATACTATAGGGGTCTATCTGCAATTAACCATAGCAGCTATTATTTTTGCAGATTTGAATTTGCTGGATGGTGAACTTGAATCAATGGCTTTTTGGCTGAATCTTATCGATTCACAGGTTAGCGTCCTAATAAAATTTTCTCTGAATTTCCTAGGGTATTGTTAGTTTGATCTTTGTAATTTGGATCTTAAACATCAATTTCTTATTTGAATTATATTTACTTATCTATTTTCATCTTTTCAAACAATTATCCTTTGTGAAACCCTTATTTGTTTTTGCTAGAAGTTCTGATAAATGTGACATAACCTTATAAGCATCAGCTTTCCCCACTGTTGGCGGGATATATTCCTAGTATACTTTTGTGCTGCGAATGCCGTGGTAATACTGTTGAATTCCTTTGTTCAGTCCTGGCTTGCAGTTTTAAGGCTTTGCCTTTTATGGAATGTGGTATTGCCTTCTATGGTGCCATCTTATGTTTTCTTGATAGCAGTCTGTTTGTTTCAGCTGATTTCTTTACATTATAAACATGGTAGAAATATTGTTTTCATGACTTAATATGTTTGTTTTTAATAATTCTGTAGGGTTTAGATGTCAGATTATACTCGGGTGATGAGATGGATATACTCAAAGATAACCAGTATGAGGTGATGCAGCTCACTGTTTTTAATTTTCTGTTAAATGATATTTAGGAATTGATAATGGTCTCTCATTTTCATTCATTAAATTCATTTAGATTTACTGATGATGATGTGCAGTCTGTTATAGAACTGATTATTCTAATATGCAATGGGAATAGCTTGAAGTGGTTGCTACATATCTCATGCGTTATTCATTGAGAATGTACTTTTTTCCCATGCATATCTTTAACAACAGAACTAACCTTATGCTTACCCCTCTAGTCTGGTATTAGGGTGTTAGCTGAAGCAGTTTTACATATGTTACTTGTAATTTTCTGTGGTTTTCTTTTAATGTCTTTGGATGCCCCCTGATAGTGGGTAAATAATACCTAAGTTGCAAGTGCAAAACTATCAAGTTATGGTATAAAAGATGTCGAATCCCACGAGAAAGGTGTTGTTGGAATTAATCCAAATTTGATTTTCTAAGTTACGTGTTGTGTGGACAATTAGGAGTAATGAATGTGGATGTGGATAGATAAAGAGAGTGGGTGTGATTGTTTGCAAATAAAACAAAATTAGATTAAGAGTGAAGAAAGAAAGATGAACAAATTAGAGGAAAATAAAATCAAGAAACAAATAAAAGGAAATCAAGAACAAAGAGAAAAATCACAAGAGTAAAAGATGGAGGAAGTCAATTAAAGATATGAGGAATTTAGAATTAAATCCACTAGTCAATTTTATTTAAAATTTATGAACTATTCTTTTTTATTATCACATTTTACTTTAGATTTATTAAGCCTAGGTTGTCAAACCACTTAAGGAAAGCATAACCTATCAAATTATTATCTAAGTAAAATTAATATTCATGAAAAGAACGATAACTAGATATTAATTCTAGAATTCATAAGCATAACCTATCAAACCACTCAAGATAAGCATAAATCATCAAAATTTTCTTTTAACAATTAGTTCTCTAGTTGATTATTCTAAACATAATCATTTTAAGCACAAAAGAGTAATTCACAAATTATAAAAGAAATCAAGTTAGTTTCATGTAATTCTTGAATTCCTATAAGATTTTAGTTACACATTTTGGGAAATAAAGATATAAAATCTAAACTAGAGAGTATGAAAGAAAGAAAATAAAACACAAGAAAAATAAGAACTAACGACAAAAGTAATAATAAGAATAAACAAATAAAGATCTAAACTATGAATATAAAAATTAATCTAACTACAAAAAATACTAGAAAGTAAATCTATACTACTAAATAAAAATGCAAGAAAATAATACAAAAATAAAAACATAGAAGTAAATCTACTCTACAAGACATCAAAGTAAATATAATCTACCAAAAAAATAAAATCATAAAACATGAATATCTAAGTAAAAATAAAAGAGAAAAAGAAAAACTTACATTGCAAGAGGGTTCTAGCCTCTTGAAGGCAAATCTCCTATCTTCATCTTCATTCTCATCTTCATTAACAAATAAAGAGAAGAAAAAAATATAAAGAGGAAAAAAAAATCTTTTATTAAGTACAACAAAATTACAATTTTGAAATATCTTCTCAATTAAGAGTAATCCTCCTCTCTCAATGGAGTTTTTACAAAAATTTTCGCACTCAAACCTCTCACCCTCTACCCCTATTTATAGCCCACAACAATAAATGAGAACCATTGGATTTAGCTTGGAGATCAATGATTAAATCTCAGCCAAAAAATTATTTCTATTGCGAACCAATTGATTGACAAATCTGTTGGCCCACCGATTAACCAATCGGTTGGTCGATCGATTGGTTTGTAATATATTTTTAATTTTATTAATTTCTTGACCCGATTTCTTCATGGATCGTTGAGCTTTCTTGGGCCTTCTTTTGTCTTCACATTTGGGCTTCAATAAATAGTAGAAAATTAGAGAATTTGATTCTTCTGAGCTTTTATTCATTAATTCTTCATTAACTGTAAATTAAGATAAAACATGTTATTAGTGACATTTTTATTAAATAAAATAGACAATGATAGTATAAAAGTGTAATAAAATGTGATTATCACTTGCATATTCAACGATCCATGTTTATGCTTAACCATTGGTGCTCAAATATATTTGCCCATTGAGAATTAATGTTTTTTTATTTTTGTATTGAATTCGGAACAGTTAATGTGGCTCTCAGTTGCTATTATTAGTTACACACTTTAATATATCAAGCCAGCTGACATGGTTCCCCACTGCAATACGTAGGGACATAATCGATGCTAATTGTCAAAGGGATGAGAAGAGCAAAAGAGAAAAAGAGCGATGCTATGTCTTGCATTTCTTAAAAATTTTCAACTGCATCTGTTACTTACAGGATTATGATCTCCTAATTTTGTTGTCTTCTTTTGTATAATGCCTTCCAGATATTGAAGCTTCAACAGGATATTGATCGACACCAAAATAATTTAAGTATTCTGCAAGATCTTGATTTTGTTTTCAAAAGGTAAGTATATGACGTGCCATATGGAGGCATGCAATATGTTTTATTTTTTAGCAGGCTTTGTGATGGAGCTATCAAATTGTTTGAAGTTTGAACTAATCTGGAGAGACAATTTTTATCGCTTTATTGAAGTTTGAACTAGTCTACGTTCCCCCTCATGCAGGATCATACATATTAAACACTACAATCTGCAAGTTAATATTATGCAAAACTAATAAGAATGTAACAAACAATTTCTTGTAGCTAGAAAATTTTGAAGGATGAAATACGAGATTCCTATTTAGACACAAATCATTGGGATGAAAAAAAAAATCATGTCCTCAACTAAAGCTGCTTAAGCTATATAGCTGGAGAAAAGAGGCAAAAGAATAGAAAGTACAAGTATTTATGTCTGACAAAGAGGAAAGATGTCATTAGTGGAACGGGGAAGAGAAAGCAGGGTTGCTCATTCTGTCTTATCCACATGTGAAGTCTGCTGAGCTTTCTCTGATTCGTTAGACCACTATTCAAGGAAAACAATCAAATTGCACTTTTTAAATGGCCAAACATCCATTATTTTAGGATTCAGTTCATTATGACCAAATCACCAGCTGCACTGGAAGCATATTCTTAGTAAGAACTGGTACCTGCAATCCAACAAACAAGAACTTTTCTATACGGTATTTTAAAGACTTTGTTCTGATTGGTTACGCCACTATTGTATTCAAACAGTCATATTGCAATTGTTAATAATCTAACGTACATTATACTAGGAGCAGAGTCATTATCAATTAATCACCAGCTAGGTTGGAAGTACATTCTGAGTAAGACTTGATATCTTCATGCCAAAAAGAATAGTCTTCTATCTGTGAGATTAATTTTTCTTCATATGGGGGAACATTTAACTTCTGCTGGTTATCAGTAACGATGGTATTGAAGTCCTTGACAAGTTATGGTACCAGATTATGGTTGCTGCTGATTATATAGAAATTGTAATTTTACTTATTTAGCGCGACTTGATTCACTTATAGGAAAACAAGGAAAAGGCACATCAACTCAATGTACTAAAATCAACTAGATGAAGGATTTGCCTCCTTCCATCCAAGTGAAAATAGATATAAAATATTTAATCCTAATAATATTCTGACTCTAAAGCCCTGCCAACCTATTCCGAGACATGGAAGCAATGATAATTTGAGCAGAATTACTTTAGACTCACTTCAGTCGAGATGAGGAACCATTGATAACTCATACTGTGGAGTTGCTCACCCTCAGGTGGTTAATGGTTATGTTTTCGCCATGGGACATGGTACCCAAATTATAACTTTTGTGATATCAAACCGTTTTGTAGGCTGGCCACCTTGAAACAAAGGGTTATGGTGCAGTTTCAGTGTCCTGAAGATTCTCCTCAAGTTTGACTATTTTGATGGATATCCATCAATTGGGTCTGTAACTTTAGGCTTGGTAGAAAATCTTCTTGTGAGACAACTCATGCCTCGTACGTGGGAATGGGTGGGAATGGAATGCAATTACAGCTTCTAATTGATGTTTACCAAACATGATTGTGTTTTTAGATGCGGAAAATGTCATTCCCACTTCCTATCAATTCCCACACACTTAATGTAGGAATTGCTATTCCCAATGAGTTGTCAAGAAATTGATATTCTCACTTAAGTGAGAATAAAAATAATAAATAAAATCCGAACATACCCTTCTTAAAGATATTCCCACTTAATTCTCTAATCGCACCCAAACATGAGAATGTGAATGAGCATTCCATTTCCACGTCAATTCCATTCCATTCATATCTTCATTCCATTCTCACTTGACTCCTTTCCCGCATACCAAACGAGGCGTTAGTAGTTAGTAGTGATGTAAGATTGACTTGAGTGCTGGATAGAATTAGAACAGTTTGAATGCTTTGATCGAATTCACTGACAAGCAGATGGTAACCTAAAACCATCTAATTTCCTGGTTATTAGCAATTGTTCATGACATGGAATGGTCAAGTTATTTGAATGTCTGAAACAGTCTGACAGCAAAGTTTTGAGTGAGATAAAGTTAGACTTTATCTCCAAATTCTCCAAAGTTGTCCTGTCTCAATGTGTATAATGTTACTAGCTAAGGGGCGTGCCTAATTATGGTACCTGAAATTCCTTGACTATAAAAAAAAGGTTTCTATTCACGTGTCTTATGGCCTGTTGCTTGATCAACTACTCAAGTATCCAGCATGGATTGAAAGCCAGGAACAAGGAGACATGTTTTTGCTAAAAGTTATTTTATTCAATGTCTTCTGTATTACTATATTTAGTTGTCATTCTGTGCACATTGGAACAGAAAGTAGATTTGTAGATAAATCTGTAATAGATGTGTCGTTATCAATCTTGTTTTGAAACCTGTATCTTTCCTTGAATCTTAGGATGGAAGCGATTGGGCAAATTGAAGATAAACTATCACAAGTCAAGGTTCTTGAATTTGAAGATAACTGCATTAGGCTGTCACTGAAAACGCCCATCCCTTCCTCAGAAAGTTTACTTCTCAGACATAAGTTGGATTATCAAGTAGAGCCATCTACAGTGGAACATGAGTTGTTAATAGAAGTTGTTGAAAAGACTTTGGAAGTACATAAAGTTGAGGTATGATGGCATTCCCATTATGCATAAGAAAGAATACTGTTAGATCATTCTTACTTCTTTTCATTTGGTGGTGATTCCACATATTGATGAATGTTTCTAATTCTGATTTAAAATTCACTCTGTTTAGCTTAAAATATTTTCAGGCGGACACTGATCAGCAATAAACTACTTGTTGATTTAATTGATCAGTCTGACTTCTTTATAACATGGTTGAATGCTCAGAGGCATTGAACAAGAACGCAAAGAAACGGAAAAATATCATTTAGCACAAAATTAAGTATCAGTTACACACCAGAAGTTCAGAGTTACATTCCAAAAGTTCCATGACAGAACTCAACATATAACATACATCTCTTGATAAATCCTAAACTTACATCCCTTGCTATCTGCGGACGCTAAAGTAAAACAGTATTTACAGAAGCTAATGATCTTTTAGACATTTAAATACGTCATTGGAGAAAACTAATTAACAAAGACCTAAGCTCATGTAACAGATGCTGTTTAATGGTGAAATTCACTATCAACCTGTGCTACCATTAGAAAGATTGACAGGCTTGAATAGTAATTTTACTCATAGTTAGCTGGGTGGGAACTCTATATTCTGGTTTTATTGGTTGAGAACTAGCTAATTTCATACTGTTGATTTCTGTTACTCTGGATGTTTCCCATATCTGCACTCATATAGCCATACATTCCCATAGCAAACTTTAACTGAAGGTACTTAGTTGCGTGTTCAATTGCTAGAAGTCTGGAACTATTTCCCCTTTGATTAAACATTTAATAGTTTCACAAGATACTGTTCATATGATTTTCTATTAAACTCTTCTAATTTTAATTGTTGGCTTCTTACCTGCTTATGCAGATTTTCCCTAATGATGTACCCCTCAATGATATTGTTTACACAATTAAATCCTCAAGGTACAATCCTACTATGATTTATTTGTATAACAGCTGCACATCACGACTGAAATATACATTGCTTGCTGAAACAAAATTTGTTTGCTTATATGATATCATGTCAAAATTGATATTTTAGGCATTTGATCACCTCTAGTTTTTTATGCAAGACCCCATTATCAATGGAGGATTATCAGAGAAATAAGGACTGAAGTGAACTAGATAACCGAATAGTCCTACAAAATTCGGTCAATGGTATAGGTACTTTGACCTCTTGGTTAACAACTTAACGCACACATATACATGTGGACAAATGTGGTAATTATTTAATACCTTTGTCCAATTGGTACCGTATGTACTTTTTTGGGGTACAGTTGTGGAAGCAGATATGTGACCCATTGGTTTTCTATATTGTTGATGTGGTTGGCTTCTTGACACTCTTGTGTCCTCCCCAATGGGAGCTAATTGGTGGGCGCATGCGCACAAGGAGAAAAGCCGCAAAACTGAAAGACTTAGTAGCTTGATGTAATTGGTCTTTTCATGCAAGTTTCTTCTAGGAATGGCCTATTGCTTTTTTTTTTTGCGTTCCTGGCCTATAATATGATATGATGTGGCTTTAGTGATTCTGTTGTATCATCCCTAACAGTAAATCGTTGATGTTGTCACTGTGTAGTCATTTTGCTAGTAATTTTCTGTTTAAATTGGTACTTTACACTGCCTTTATTCATGGGTTGCAAGTTTGTTCTTTCTGTCTATCTGGATGTTGCCTGGCTTGCTCTTGACTCTTTCTATTTAAGTTTTGTGCAAGTTAAAGCACTACACACACACACATAACTGAGATGAACAATGCTTAGCTATAGTTCATCCCAGATAACATTTATTATATTAAAAAATGACCAATTTGACCATTGCACAAACTGGTCCAGCGAAAGTACACTAAAATTACATGTGAGAAGTTATGAGTACGAATCTTGGTGTGGGCAAGCTTTGTGAATTTTTTAATTTTTTAAATAACCCCAAAGTTTTACCCCAACTTATTTTTATACATCAAAATGTTTTTTTGCCTATAAACCCAAAGTTTTTCTCTATTCATTTTTTAACCCACTCACTTCAGTTATAGCATTTTTTTATCTATAAACCAAAAACTTTATACCAATTTATTTTAAACTCACCCAAAAATTAAGTTTTATCCCTATTTATTTTTAAACAAACCTACTTCCAGAAAGGGTAATTTCTCTGTGGACTGAAAGTTTTACCCCTGTTTATTTTTATACCCACCAACTCCCAACTTACATTAAAATGCTTCATAAAATGAAGCATGAACCTACTTTGTATTCAGGACTTGGATATATGGTATAAGTTACTATATTGTTATAACTTGATATTTATATTTTTGTTCTAAATGATTGCATATGTAGTGTATTTTAAACAAAACGTTTAGACTATTAATTTCTTCGATTTTTCATACTAATATTGATTGTCATTGCAATTGTAGATGAGTTTTTTTTTTTGCTTATAAACTCAAAGTTCTATCCCATTTATTTTTAAACTCACACACTTCCAAAATAGTGTATTTCTATAAGTCAAACTTTTATCCCCATTTAGTTTTAAACTCACCCACAATCTTAGACTCAGTATCGCATCTAGAAATTTTTCCTTGGGGGGTGGACAACTAGTGTCTATTTATCTAAAACTAAATATATAATATTAATAACTATAGTATTATTTTTTGGTAATGGGTTTGGATTTTAGTATTGTGTTTTGGACTTTTGGGTTTCCAGTGTTATAGTTTTGGGTTTTTAGTGTTTGGGCCCACATTTAACTTGATTGTTGGAAATTTAAATGGGCTTTTACTTTGCAATGGGCTCAAACTATTACCAATTTGTTTGGTGTTTTTAGATGGCTTGGGCCTTTGGTGCAATTTCTAAGTTTATGGAGGAGCAGATTTTAAATATCACAAGGATTAATATGTAATTTGTAAATTTCTAGGGGTGCAACTGCACAGCACCCTAGATTGTATATAAATCCACCCATGCTTAGGGGCTGTTTGGTTGGCATTTTTTGCCCTTGTAAAGCTGTCAAAACTGACAAAAGCTGTCAGTTTTGGCAGCTTTACTTGCAAAAACGCCCAAAAATAGGCGTTTTTGGCTTTTTGCAAGTAAAGCTGTCAAAACTGACAGCTTTTGTCAGTTTTGGCAGCTTTACAAGGGCAAAAAATGCCAACCAAACAGCCCCTTAGACCTAAAATATCTAATCAAAATTTTAACTCAATTTGTATTTTAGCAGTTTAGTGTGCGGTGTATATAACTATATTTTTTGGTATAATCTGCTATACCTTTTCTAAGTGGTTAGTTGCATGGTGTATTTTTAAAGCAAATGTTTAGCCTAATGCTGTGGCATCGTGGGGGTCAATTTTGCTCGTTTTATTACTGAAGCCTGGAAATTTTGAGTTGTACACATAGTGGAAAAGCTGTTTCTGTGCCCCACAGTTTACTGTTTGTTTGGAAATATTGAGTCCAATTATGCTGTCTTTTGATTTTTTCATTCTTACATCTTATGGATAGTGTTATTTTTCCACTGTACATTTGTGATTATTTGAAGGATTACCTTCTGGTCATAGCTTTGTTGATAAAGTGACATAATCTGCAGTAACATGCCAATTGCAAGGAATTGTTCTGCACTCGAATATTTGGTGAGGCATGTTCAACATCGAATTCTCATATGCACTCTAAGACGTTTGTTACTGAAAGATGCAAAAATATCAAGGTGAGATGATTTTGTTTGCAATTTTATGTATAACTTGTTTAACAACTGTATAGCGATTGGCATGGTCAGATATATCTTTACGCGGCTGACTTGCTCATGGTTATTATTGCATGAGGAGTCATCATTCAATAACTACATCCATCAATTATTCAAAAAGATCTCTTTTTTGTTTGAGGTGAGAAAAGGAGTTGGTCTTACTGTAAGTAATTGGTGCACGTTAGTGCCCTTCTGAAGGGCAGAAACTCGTTCTTTTCTTTAGTATTTTCTGCTCAAGCATTAACTAATGAGTAACTAGGGAAGCGGAAAAGGCTGTTTACTCGCTTCTGTTCTCAGTACTCATCCTAATATATAAAGAGTAATGCTACAGGTACCTAACTGGATGCCATTTGAGTTCTTTCCATGGAAGAAAAAGGGGACAGATGCTAAACCAACACAATTTTTTTCTTTTGTCATATATTACCCTTTTCTCTTTAGGTGATATAAAAGAATCAACAGGTACATAGCTGAGGTTGTTATAGCATTTTCTCTACTATATTATGGGTTCCATTTATTGTTTTCATCAAGTCCTGAAAATTATCTGAACATTAGCATGTTAGAGGGAACATGCCATCTCACCAAAGATTATTGCAGTCGTGGAAGGCTCAAAATATGTGATAACATGCATGAATGCATCTAATTGCTTATAACACTTATTTCGTTAAAAAATATGTGGTACATGTTTAATTATATGTAGCGGAAGGTGATAATTGTAACCGGGTTTGGTATTCACCTCGGTGGAACAGATACCAGGATGAATTCATGTGGAAAAAGAAAGTGTTCAGGATGCTGAGTCTGCAAGTCAAGTAGTAACGAGGGAACATACTTTTATTTGGTCTACATTTGTCGTTATTATTATTATTATAAACTTTTCAGTATTCATTCTCACCATGATTCACCTTTATTTGGTTGTAAACTACTTGTAATGCACATCGAGTGGTTACACAGGTCTTATCATCAAAATGCTGTTTGCTTACTTCACACTTGATATATAGGTGACAACCTTTCCAAGCATTTGATTTCTGTTTCTGGATGTCTGAAGTCTTTTGCATCCCATAAATTTCCTCTGCCAATAGTGCATAACCACATTAGTTTTATTTGTAAAGAAAGCTCCATGTCCTTTGTCTGTTAGGTAAATTTTCGGAAGAAAAATCCATTTTCTTTTTTTAACCTTTTGAATTTCTGTAGTCTATTTTAAATACTAGTATTCTTAACTGAGTATTTATATTTTTATCCAGGGATCCACTTTTACTGCTCTTTATCTCTTGTTATTTTAATCTTAATCAGTAGTTCTTTTGCAGACACTCTTTTGAGTACTCTGACAGAGATGAGACTATCACAGCTCATCTGGTTGGGGGTATTGATGCTTTCATAAAAGTAACTCAGAGCTGGCCGATATCAGATTCTGGTTTGAAGTTGGTCTCTATAAAAAACTCCAATAGCCAATCCAAGAGCATTTCCCTGAGTTTTCTTTACAAGGTTAAGGTAAGTTCATTAGCTGTTTGCTTAACACTGTCACTGTTCTATAATTATGGCAAATTTCAGTGTGCTAATGTGAAATTGCATCCAGAAATAGTGATGCTACTTTTGAAGTTGGTAGGTACAAAGGTCATATATTTAAGTAAACATGATAATGACTTTCCGTGACTCTGAATATTGGTTATGCTATTCCAACAAGTTCATTCTTATGCTAATATGTAAACAAAATATCTTTTGCTTTAATGGTCCAAATGGGGTGGTTGAGGATCAAAATGTTATTCTTTCCATGTTTGTTGATTGATACAATACACTTTTTAGTTTTAAATTTTCAGTGAGAGCCGATACCTATTTCTCTTATCAATTGTTACGTTCCATAAGAAATTTTGGAACAACTTGAGGTTCATGTGAATATTGCAGAACTGGAGTTTGAGGTCTTTCATTTGAATATGGATAAGGCTCCAGTTCCATACGTGTTCAATGCTTTGTTCTTTGCATCCTGCATGATCGGAAAATGAATTATTTCTAGCAGTAAAAAGTTTCTTCCGCTATGGCAAATTATAAAGAACGGTGAGCCATACGTGGCTTGTATTTATTCCTAATAAGAATGCACTGTTGATAGATACAAGACACTTTTTAGTTTTAATTTTTCAACGTGAGCCGTTGCCTAATTCTCCTATTAGTCGCTACGTTCCAGAAGAATCTTTTCAACAACTTGACTATTGCGTAACTAAGTTTGTGGTCTTTCATTTGAATATGGATAAGGCTCCGGGTCCAGATGGATTCAATGCTTTGTTCCTTCATGCTGCATGGCCGATTATTAAGAATGAATTATTTCTAGTGGTAAAAAATTTCTTTCGCAATGGCAAATTATTAAGAACAATGAACCATACAAGGCTTGTATTTATTCCTAAGAAGATTGCACTGTCATTTATTCAGGCCAATCTCTGTGTAATCTTGTTTTGCGGATTACATCCAAGATTATGGTCAATAGGCTTAAACCTCTCATGCCTTGACTTGTGAATTTGTCTCAAATTGCATTTATCCCAGGCTGCCTCATTACCAACTCAATCTTACTGGCCCACAAGTTATGTCACAAACTTCATAGCTGAACTTGTCTACTGAGGATGGGTATAAAATTGAACCTTTGACAGGCTTATGATTTTGTAAATATAACGTTTCTCCTTGATGTCATGCATAGTATGGGGTTTGGTAAGAAGTGGATGAGATGGACACATGCATGCTTGCAAACAGCATCCTTTGTATCACTTAATGGTATGAGCTCTGAAACTTTTAGTTCTTCGAATTGCATTCGGCAAGGAGATCTCATGGATTCTTGTTCACATTTGTCATGCGAGCTTTCTCTTGCTTGCTTGATGATGCTGTTCAAGAGGGTAATCTAACCCCTTTCTCAGTTTGTTGTCGGTATCACATGTTGGCTTTACGGACAATTTGATGATATTTGCTCATGCTACTAAGAAAAATGCAAGAACAATTAAATATGTTCTTGCAAGGTTTTTCGCTCTATCAGGTCTTCAAATAAATTGTAAATATTACTATCTTTTTTTGTCGTCATATAAATCTTGAGGGGTGCTTCCTTCGAATTAGGTAACCTTCGAATTAGGTATTTAGGTTTGCCTCTGTTCTCGTCTAGATTGAATATCAACCTGTGTGCTCCCTTTCTGATTCAACTCAACGAATACTTCATTCTTAGCTACACTAGTTGTCATTTTTGGCATGTAGGACTCAATTGATCAAATTGTTTCTATCTTCAATTCACTTGTACTGGAAATCCACGTTTCATCTATCTAAGATGGTGTTGCGTTGTATTTTTTCCCTTCTTCGAGATTTCTAATGGCTTGGCACGAGTAAGAAGGGCACGAGTTTGGTTAGATGCAAGCTTGTATGTTACCGAAGAATGAAGGTGAATTGGGTAGTCAGATGCTGAGTGATTGCAACTTGGCTGGTTCTATTCGTGTCCTTTTGGGATGTGATTACTGAGCATGATGTTCTCTGAGTTAAATAGACGCATCTGAAGTACATTAGTGGTAATTCAATTTGGTCTTGTGGAACTCATGTTACTCTTTAGTTTACTCTGTGCATGGCCATATATGATGACCGTCATGGGTAGTGCTGATAGCTCTGTGTTGACCCTATGGATGACATTTTAGCTTCTGGTCAATGTTGGATTCTATTCGCAATTGAGGATTGTCAGTTGCTTGGGCAAATTGGGTTTGGTTCAAAGGCCATGTATCTCGATTAGCTTCTTGTGCTTGGAAGGTGTTTATGCAGTATCACCCAATACAAGAATTTTCACATAGGCGCGGGCTAAATATTGTCTTGTCGTGCTTGTTGTGTATGACTGCTAGTGAGGATGTTACACATCTCTTTTTGGAGTGCCCATATGTGCGTGATGTTTGGGGTCATGTATTCGCACAATTGATGGTTGAATGTGAGCTATTTCGATCTATACATGGAGTGAGTCTATATTTGACATAGGTCATTGACAAGGCGTTACTTGGAGTATACATGCATTGCATATCGCTTCTGGGTGTATTTCTTTTGTGTGGTAAGAGAAGATTAGGAGTTTTTTTTACCGCTGATCCACCTTTGAGTTCTTTGAAAGTGACTTGTTTAGTGCTTGACACTCTTAAGCTTTGGAAGACTCAAGTCTTGTAGTTTTATTTCCTTTGTATGCTTCATTTTTCTTTGTTACTTTTATAGCTCTGGACTTGGTTCTTATGAACTATGTATCATGATTTGTACTTTATTTTAACTTTAATCTAAGGAGGTTCACCTCGCTCTTTGCTTTAATTTTTTAAAATTTTATTTTAATCTTTCTCCTTCTAGCCAAACAGTTTTACATTCTTTTATCCAGACTCAAAATTTGTGTTTTTAGGTTGCATATAAGCCTTCGGCATTATTATGTCTAACTGTGGCATGTCTCAATACTTGCAAGACAATCTTGTCTGTTTAGAATTCGGGATATAATTTACCTAAAGGATAGGTGGCTTGGCCACTACAAATGATATAATGCAGAACCCAGTGCTATTGGATTGCATTGGTAAAGGTCTCTTGTGGTCATGCAAGAGATCTGGGGATTGGACCCTCCTAGCACAAGTCTATGGTCTTTTCTCCAAAAGAAAAAAGATCCATGACATTTGAGAAAAATCTTTGATCTATCCAAATAATTCAATTGAAGAATATGTAGTTCCTCTCTTTATCATCTATCCCTCATCTGAGTGTAGTTAGCTATGGCCCAAAATTCCATAATAGAAACCATAGAGAATCTATTGCCCACCCTGCCAAAAGCGAAAGAAGAAAAAAAGCTTTACTGCTTTAGTTTTCTTATACGTCCAAACAGTCTAAACAAAGTGGGGACCAAACTAGCCACATTGCTTTACGTCAAGTTGTAAATTGTAATCTCTGCTCATTGTTTTGGGGTTACGTGCAGATTAGAATTTGGTTTCATATTTATGGTTTAGATCCGAATTTGAGGGCTCCGGATGCGAAGATGATTTTGGGCTTGTGATGATTTGGTAACAATTACAGGGCTGTGAAAGACGTGGGGGTTAAATTCACATTGTGAAAGCTGGGGGTTGCATGTACCAGCTAGGAAATAAGTTTGCGACTAAATGACAAGCATACATCTAAAGTTTAGTGATGGATATGTTTTTGTACCAAAGTTCTTTTCCTTTTTCCCTTCCTTCTGTTTTCCCTTTGGTAGTAGGTGTCTATACTGTCCTTTCGCTAAATATATGGAAATTCTCTTCCTAATTTGCTGGAGGCATACATTGTACTGGTGATCTCCCTCCAAAAGTTATATCTCTTACCGCTTGCAAAATAAGCATTATATAGGCAATATTATGGGTGTAAGGATGATCTCCCTCCAAAAGTCACATCTGTCACGATCTGTGAATAAGCATCTCTAGGCGATAACTATCAGTGTGACTCTTGACTAGTATCATAACAAAAAATCAAACAATAGAAAATTATTGCATTTATTTCTATTAGAAAAAATGTCAAATACTTATTTGTTGAAATTCATATTTTTTTTGTTCTTAATGAAACAATCTAGAAAAAGTGTCAGGAGAATTATGTTCTGCTTGTCATGTCTGTGATTTTAAGCAGTGTAAATATTATTATCTTTCCTTTATGTTAGCTCTGTTTCCATTAACATAAGATTAAAAAAAAATCTAAGTTCAATGTTTCCGTTATGTTAGCTCTGTTATTTCCAATCATTCACTTGATTATTCTCAATGATAATTTTACTCATGCTATTTCTGATTTAACTATTAATTATTTGCTCTCTTTTGGTTGTGTAGGAACTTACAAATTCTTTGAACATTCAAACTCGAGGCCATCTTGTTCGATTCCTGGATGCAATCGAAGAAATACTTGTCCGGGAGATGCATTCTGAGCTCCATTCAAATGACATTTCTGCCTGAAACCTTCAATTTCGTTATGCACTCGTCTTGTAATTAGCTTTTCTTATGCTACCCAGTTTTAGAAGCAAAGCGTTCTTTATTGATGTATCTCGTGTGAAATCTTCAAATGTTAGTTTAGGGTATTGTTTCGGATTCAGTTGGCTATTTGTGCTCCTCTTGTTGAATGAAATGCTTTTGGTATTCTATTGGGATTTTCTTAATAGAATGACCGAATTATCTGCATATGGGGATTGTTTAGTTTTAAAATGTGGTTTGTACTGGTGTAAATTGTTGCAAATGGTATGATCCTTTGTTGTATAAACATGAAATGAGCTTTTCCATATATAATGTTATGCTTCTAACTTTGAATCTCAAGATATGAACTGAGATTTGTCCTTTATCAATGAGCTGCAATTTTGTTGCATCAGATGCAGAAGTACAGGGAATTTATAATTTTGGATTTATGGCTGCAATATGGTAGATAGTGAATATGTTCAATAACTCTGAAGCACACTAAAGCTATGAATCAAACTCTGAAACAGATTAAATCTAAGAACCAAATGTAAAGTTTTCCAAATTAATTAAGTGTGGGTTTGGATGGCTTTTTTTATGAGGGGAGGAGTTGGGACGTTACAATGTTAACCATCCTAAAATTTTGTTTATATTATGGGTTTTTTTGTCATTAAACCCAGTTTTATCTCAATTTATTTATAAACCTACCCACTTCCATAATGCTGCATACACCCAAATCATCATGCCTAGCTTATTTTTAAACCCAATATATCTAAATACCTAGTATTTGTATATCCGTATGTCCAAAAATTGAAAATCCCAAAACACCCTCTTTTATTATTTCTTCTTCTATAAACCATCTGCTTCATCATTTCTCTCCTCCCTCCTCCATTAACTGACCACCTCCTCAAATTCTACCCAAACCACCAAAAAAAAAAAAAAAAAAAAAAATCAAA